ACACAACACAGTAGAATAGAACAGAATGCAGCAGCCTCAACATCTGCAATGTACATGGTGTGAGCCGAGGTGCTGAAAAAACAAGACAACTGTCCTCAATATTTTACATCTACATACACAAATCATTAACAAACCAGAGCAAAGGAATAAAAGAATGTGTCCTGTGTGAACGGCACACAAGACATTTCAGGAACACTGCTATTTAAGCATGTATATACTGTAATTTCAGTTAAGTTCTGTATTTGTGTTTTTTTTTCCCACTAGAGTGATTTCTTTTTTGTTGACTATTAACCAGGAATCTTGTATTGTCAGTTGTTGATATATGGATGTAATTTCTCACTCGCAAAACAAACCCTGCAGGTGGATTGAATGATTCGTAAGGTTTTGCATAGAGAGAAACGACAGTGCCTCAATTTTGTTTAGACAAGATCTACAGTGACTGAATTAATTCAGTAGCAATCCTCCAACATATGTATCATCTGACATTATTCTTTGAATAGGGGATACTGGGGCTAGTTGCCACAAAGGCTATATTTAATTACACAAATAACTGTATTCTGTAGCAGTGATTTTGTATTTGGTTTCAAAAACCCACCAAAAATAGGTTAATATATATATATACAGTGGGTACGGAAAGTATTCAGACTAGCAAATGGCTGCAATATAACAAAGAGTGAAAAATTTAAGGGGGTCTGAATACTTTCCGTACCCACTGTATATATATAGATAGTCATACAAACTAAAATGTGATATTTCTTATAGTTGTTGGATAAACAAATGAACGATAAAAACTATACATTGAGGCGAGATATAATAGATTGAACAAAAATGTCTGATTGGGGCAAGTATTATACAAGTGTTATAAAGTTATAAACAGCATATTTATAGGGAGAGAGATTTTTTAGTAAAACAGCAGTTTGAAATTGTTCTATGTTGCTATTTAATTTTCTGCTGTTTCATGAAGTGAGCTTTTTATAATAGTTTTCTGAAAGGCCTATAAGATGAAGAAAAAAAATTGTTTCTTATAAAATGCACTGACATTTTGTGACACCATGCCCCAATAGGAAATCATGTTAAAGAATTTAATAGCTTTTTTTTGTAGCCAAAATGTTCAGTATTTAAATAAATATTTACTGGAGTAAATAGTTATTGAAGCTCGTTTCTGCCACTGAATAAAAAATATAAAAGGTAATTGCGACTTTTTAACTCACATCTCGGACTTTTTTTCTCACAATTGCACTGACTTTTTCTCAGAATTGTGAGATATAAACTCACAATTGCGAGTTATAAAGTCAGAATTGTGAGATATAAAGACAGAATTGCGGGATATAAATTTGCAATTGCGAGAAATAAAGTCAGAATTGCCTGAAACTCGCAATTCGGACTTTTTTCTCAGAATTGTGAGATATAAACTCGCAATTGTGAGTTATAAAGTCCAGTTCTGAGGAGAAAAAAGATATGTTCTCAGAATTGCAAGTTTATTAACTCGCAATTGCAAGTTTAAATCACACAATTCTGACTTCATTTCTCAGAACACAATTTTGAGAAAAAAAGTCAGAATTGCGAGTTTGTATCAGGCAATTCTGAGAAAAAAAAAAAGGTCAGAATTGCGAGATAAAAAGTTGCAATTACCTTTTTTTATTTTTTATTCAGTGGTGGAAACAGGCTTCCAAAATAACTAAAAAAAAATTGTTTCTTATAAAATGCACTGACATTTTGTGACACCATGCCCCAATAGGAAATCATGTTAAAGAATTTAATAGCTTTTTTTTGTAGCCAAAATGTTCAGTATTTAAATAAATATTTACTGGAGTAAATAGTTATTGAAGCTCGTTTCTGCCACTGAATAAAAAATATAAAAGGTAATTGCGACTTTTTAACTCACATCTCGGACTTTTTTTCTCACAATTGCACTGACTTTTTCTCAGAATTGTGAGATATAAACTCACAATTGCGAGTTATAAAGTCAGAATTGTGAGATATAAAGACAGAATTGCGGGATATAAATTTGCAATTGCGAGAAATAAAGTCAGAATTGCCTGAAACTCGCAATTCGGACTTTTTTCTCAGAATTGTGAGATATAAACTCGCAATTGTGAGTTATAAAGTCCAGTTCTGAGGAGAAAAAAGATATGTTCTCAGAATTGCAAGTTTATTAACTCGCAATTGCAAGTTTAAATCACACAATTCTGACTTCATTTCTCAGAACACAATTTTGAGAAAAAAAGTCAGAATTGCGAGTTTGTATCAGGCAATTCTGAGAAAAAAAAAAAGGTCAGAATTGCGAGATAAAAAGTTGCAATTACCTTTTTTTATTTTTTATTCAGTGGTGGAAACAGGCTTCCAAAATAACTAGCCCCAGTCTCCTCAAACATACTAACCATATGTGTCACTTACAAATATTGTTGTTTTATATACATAACACATTTATCAAAACGAACAGACATTCGGATATTCATTTATATACAGGCTGGTGTTATGACTTCAGCCTCAAAAGAGATTTGTTTTTATGTCCACCATTGTTGATGGCTAAGTTTATGTTGATTAGTACAACTCATTCTCTTTGTCATCTCAAATGGTGAATAAAATGTGTTTTCGTGTCACATACGTGTTAAAGCATATTAAGATTTACAACAGAAACTGTCAATACCCTTGTAGCCTACAGTCTCCTGGACATCTTGTGTGAGTTTCTAAGCAGCACATGGAACAGCAGAGGAACTGATTTGACTGTCCTTGGGAGATGGATTTGGCCTGAATGGCACCGGATTGGCTTCTGGACAGGAGCACCTTTTTAAAGTGCAATCAGGTGACAGGCTGTGATGAATCAGACTCAGTCTGAAATTAATCAGTCCACATCCCTCCACGACCCCCCTACACACACACACTTCCAACCCTCACTAACGACATCCTCATAAATAGACCCTTCTAATGTTGTTTACCCACCAAAGGAGGGTTTTTCCTTTTAAATAGATGTAATTGTTATAGCAAGAGATCAAAGACACAATTGAACACCATCACGACGTCTATTATCCGTGTCAAAACAGCATATATATATATATAGAACGCTGGAGACAAATAAGCCAGTGTCGTTAGACCCAGAGGATGACGGAGTAATTTTTGTGCTTTGTCTGATTTGGTTTGCAGTGACACACTACTGGTCCCCGGCCCAGGCTGATGGGATCTGTCTGGTGGATAATTTTATTGGCTATGTGAAATGAGCTATTGCTCATAACTCCAGAGTAACTGCCAGTCAAAATGATGGGATATGGAGATGAAGTTCACTGGGTCATTGGCTGTTTTGAAGATGACATTGTTTTAAAGCCTACTGTCAAACATTTCCACATTATACATCATCAGCTGAACATTAGCTGTTATTTTAAGCACCTATAGAAGTATAAATCATACTGTTTTTGTAAATACAACTTACTTGTGGTAATTGTCACTTTTTGGAAGCACATTGTTTTTTGTAGACATCAAAATTAATAAATAATTTATCATAATCAAAATTAGGGATGATGCACCTATATTATATATCTGGTTGACACAATACTAAAATGCCAAATTTCATATGATTTTGTCTAAATAAATTAAATATCAAAAAAATCATTTAAAAAAACTACATTTAAGCATCAAAACATTAATAAGGGAAAGAAGCATTTACAATTAAATCATCAGATATTGATCAATTAAAAATACATCTCAAATATTTATAATATCCATCATGATGCATCCCAAAACTGAAACTATAATGAAAACAATATAAAAACATTTTTGTTACTTGAAAGAAAATAAACATTAATTAGTTATCTAAACATTAATTAGTTAGCTAGTTGCCAAGGCAACATTTATTTATTTATTTTAATTTTATATATTAAAGAAAACTAAAAATGAAACACTATATTGACATATAAAAAAAACTACTATTGATTTGAACAAACTCCCAACCCTACATATTACAACGTGTAACTCGACATGAATGCTACCACAAATCATGTGGCTTGAGGAGCAGAGATGTGCTATTGCTTTTCAATGCGATCAGACTTACTATTTTTACCTGGCTGACCATAAACAAATCCCTCATCAATATAATGGCATAAATGGCCCCCACATGACCACATCAGTAGATCGATAGCATCTAATGTAATGTGTGATTCAGAGAAGCCATTCAAACAACAAAGAGCAAATGAGTCTATTCTTGGCGTTTCAGCTGCCCTCTTTTACCTCAGAACACAACAAACAGGGTCTCTCTATCTTTCTCCACTCTCTGGGAACAAGAAACCCCACTTCCTACTGTTCCCCTGGCAACAGAACATAGTCCTGACCTGATGCACACTTCCACACAAATATGGTCATTCCTGTGCTCAGGCCAGACAGCTGTGCTGTTTGTTAGAAAGGGACATCTGTGGGTCTTCTCGCGAGGGGCAGAGGACACAAAAGGAGGAAGCAGTAGAAGAAGAAGCTGGTAATTACTAATCACTACTGCTCATACTTACGGTTATGGATCAGAACAAACCCTTAATCCTAAATGCTAAACTCTGGTGCACTTCAAATTGTTTGTGTTGGTCTTTTTCGAAATCTGAATTAAAATGTTCACACCCCACAGAAAGTAGAGTTGAAATTAGAATTGGAATGAAAGTAAATGCAGTTTACTGAATAGACAATGAAGGAAATTTAACAGGTAGCTCCTGTTTGCCATCTAAATTCACATTCAAATCCAATTCAAATCCAGAAAAGAAAAGAAAATCAGTAAGTCAATGCATGATACCTTTAAAGGTATAGTTCACCCAAATTCTGTAAACATTTATTCACCCTTATGCAGTTGCAAACCTGTAGGGTGAACTTAGGGGATCAAACATACAAAATATCAGTTTAAACAACATTAGACTGAGCATGAAAATATTTTTGGGTGAACTATGCCTTTAAGGACTGAGAGTTGCATAATTTATTTCCTTATGAACACACAGTGAGCTCTTCAGAGCCTTTAGGCATGTAAATAGCACCTTAATATGTTGGCTTATTTGATGGGGCCACTTATCATGTAGCTTCTGCTCCTTGGTGGCTGGGTCATTCGGGCTGTTAAGAGGCATGATGGCAGTATCCGGTATGGTGGTGACAGCACACATGTGCCTGGGGTCCAAGATGTCACTCCCTGTAATATGAGCCCATCATTAAAGAACCTCATAGATGAGCTGCAGATTTTACAAAAAAAGTGTTTTCAGTGATTACATGCCATTAAAAAAGAAAAATCTCCAATAGGCCTGGGTGATAAAACGGTATCGATATTTATCGACGGTACACCTTCGATAACGATAGAAAAATTTTTCGATATGGCGCACGATATAGGCACGTGCTATGAGTGACGCAGACAGCACACACAAACACGAACATGCTGAAATGAGTGCTGTGCCTGCCTGTGATGAGGAGATTGTGAATAAAAAATGAATATTAGTCAAATTTAAAATAAACATTTGCAGCACAAACATACAAAACACACAAACACGGACATGAGTGCTGTACCTGCCTGTGATGAGGACATTGTGAATATAAAAATGAATATTAGTCGAATTTAAAATAAACATTTGCATTTGAATGTTAGGTGTGCGTCAGGGAGCGTCATCAGTGGCGAGCGAGATGCGGAGATAATGATGTAACGTTGTTGCATTTTAATGTTTTGTTAGTCTAGCCCACGAGATGCGCCGCTGCTGTGTTATGCATTCAAAATATTAGAGAAATATAGTAGCTCAATGCGGAGAAGATCTTGATTAGGTTAAAACCGAAGCAAAGCCATTAACACAGAACGCATATTCAGCGCATTTTTTAGACGGACAAATATGACTGCTGCACTCGCGTCTCACACAAAAGATGTATAGAAAGCCATGCAAAGTTAAAACGGTTTAAACTTTTATAAAACACATCGTGAATTTGTCGAGGTTTATTCTTTTTCACTGCGTCTCATATGTTTTTAAATGCAATCTGTGTGAATGATTCTTTGGCTCTTTGGATTAAGCAATGCATGGCGATTCGGCTCTTTGTATTAAGCAATGCATAAATACATGATGCTGTTTTGTTCATAATTGTTTATGCAATTTACGAAATTATATTTGATTTTTATGAGTTAATTTAGACGTAATGCACATTTTTTATAGACAGTTATTTCCTTGCGTTTACAATTTAAATGCACTATTATTTTGCTCATTGCGCCCTCCTGTGGCCTCGGGAGACAAGACAAAAGTTTCCTTAAGACCTATTTAATCTGCATATAAAACATTAGAAATGAGATATTTGTTTAATTTTTATTTTGTGTTTGATTGTTAAAACAAAAAATATTTGTTGTTTGTCTCAATAAATTGGGTTAAATTAAAAATACAGTGGTTAAATTTAAACATTTTTTTTCTATTGCTCTTTGTTTTAAAAAAGGTTATAAAAAAATGTCAATAATTATCGATACCGAACGATATGAAACATTATATCGTTGATACATTTTTTAGCTATATCGCCCAGCCCTAAATTCTCCAAAGTCAAAAGAGTATGTATTATTTGTATACACAAATGTATATGTTTCAAGATAAATTTCAAAAGGGTATGTCATTATACTCGCATAAATTTAAAATATTTGCAGTCAGTGATTAATTCACACACTGGCCATGATAAAATGTAAGCAGTAATTCATGAAAATGACTTTCACTTGTGCCTTGCCTTTTTGATTTCATTTTTTTTTCCATTTACTATAAAAAAAAATGAATTTCCACCAGGAGCGACTTTTTCATTAACAGATTATACGACAATAGTAAAATGTACACATGGGCATTTAGTAAGCAATGTGACTAGTATTGTATATCTATCCTACAGTGCATCACCTCTGTACTCTGTGGTTGTTTAGCGTCCTCTGCTGTCTGATGTTTGTATTTCAACTGAAGCATTGAGTACCTGTATGCTAGACAGTTATTTTATATTTTACTCACCCATTACAATCAATCTGATTTAAGTTTTGAAAATATGTAGCTAGGTATAATTTAAATTATTTTTTAAGCATTTAAGCATACACCTTTAGATTACTTTTTTAAAGATCAGAATCAGAAACAAACTTTTGACTGAAAGTGTAAATGGATACTTATGGAGTACTTTACAAATGTGTGTATTTAGCTATCTAAATGTATAGACTTCTACTTTTTATACAGCTAGTTATAAGCAACCTAACCCCTAAACCACACCCTATCAGAATTTTTTTTTTTGCATTTTCACAATTGTCCCAAAATAGGTTAAGTAGGTAGGTTCACACACACTTAACAATGGGTGGCTCATCAGCAATACATCTATGCAAGATTTTGAGAGCAGGGAAGAGTCAAGGAATAAGGGACATTCAGCCTTAATTCCTTAAACTATAGCACTCATTATTTTGAGTCTGACAAGATAGATTTAGGTTTCAACAAGTTTTGTGCCACTTTCACGGTTGCTGAAAAAAGACACCAAATTAAATGAACTGCAAAAGCTAACTGTGAAGGTTAGATGTACGTGATGGCATCTGTAGCGAAGGCATGTGTGCAAAATGTGGGTGGCGTTCAAAAGCCTGAGATGGAGTATTGACTTACAAACACCAAAGCCCTGGCCAGAGCCATGCATTTAGAAAGAAACTATCACAATGCTCTACATTACTACAACCTCGCAGACCAACACGCACACGCCAACCACTAACACAAATAACCCTTTCACATGATAATGCCACATCAGATAACAGAGCCAGTGAACATAAGATGAAACCCAAATGCAAATCTTTTAATCATATTATTTTATATATATATATATATATATATACATATATATATATATATACATATACATATATACACACATACATATATATATATATATACATATATACACA